TGGCAGGTTTTCTTCCCCATGTAACTCAAATGCGGGTTAGTTCCCTCAATAAGTCGGCCACGATGGCAAAATTTCTGCTAATACTTGATCCAGTAGTTCCCTTGTCTTCTGGATTGGGTTCAAAATGACAAGGCTACGGAGTTGAACATTAGTAGTCGTGAACCCAAAAAACTGGGTCGGCTGTTTACCGCCGGTTATAAAATAAAAAATATACGTCACCTGAAATTAATTTTATTTAAAAAGTATCAGTTTCGGTAGTTATGCCAAATAAAGAAAAGTGACATCAATTTATTTACGCCATTTTAAGTCAATCAACAGCCATAAGTGCTCTGAAAATAATTAGAATTTTTTATTTGCAGTCTCTTCGTAATAGAATATGGTCAAAGCGTTTTGACTTTATTTGAAAAGAAAAAAAATAGGGGACTTAGTATGCTTTATGATTTTTGACATGGAATGCAGTGCCTAGACCACGTGTTGCAATTCCTAATTAGGTTAGGCTAAATAAATCTATTACAAATTATTTTATTAATTGCTTTTGTATACCGGGGTGTGATAAGTTATGAATAGGATCAAATATTTGTGTACACAATTGTTTTGGAATAAAAGGTCGAACATTTTTAGTAGAGCTGTCAAAATATAAAAAAAAGTGTCCGTCTCGGCCATATTTACATTTTTAAAATTTAAACCTTTTGAAATATTGATTAAACGATTTAATTCTATATAATTTTCCTGGCCTTCTGCAATTTTTCTATAATCTACAGGATTTGGTATGTTTATAGAAGCTATTTTTGATAACGCATCTGCTTTTATATTATCAGAACCATTTGATATCGCATATCTGTTGTAAACTGAGATAAAAAATCTAATTGACGTGCTTACCGAGGTGAAAATTTATCTAACATTTGCTTAAATGCATAAGTGGGTGGTTTGTGATCTGCGAATAAAATAAAATTTCGAGCATTTAACTGAGTTGTTTGATTACAACTCTCTATCGTAAGCTCTATAGCGTTTTTCAGTTTCGTATAACTTGTTGTTAAAAAAAATGCAAACAGTTTAAGAAATTCGTTTTCTGTTTAAAATAAAGATTTTCCTGTTGCGAAATCCGAGGCATCCGCATGGCAATTCCAAATTTGCATCGAGGTTAGGATGCTTAAGAAGCTTAGAGTTTGCTAAAAGGGTTTTGAAATTCGCTCATGGACTGTTCTGACCAGTTAATCATATGATTATCATTGCACTCTTTGAACCTTCCAAAATAACATTTAAATAAATTTGGTTAAGAGCTGCGCGAGGTAGAAAACAAAAAATTTAGAAATGGACAATTTAAGATAGTGTCTACTTTATCAGGTTGTAGTTTATTGCTATTCTTAGCTATTAATTGTCCAAAATATGAAATTTTTGACACTCCAAACGGACATTTTGATACGTTCACTTTTAAACAATATTCGTTTAATTTTTGAAATACGACTCGAACATACGTTTTGTGCTGTCAAGGTGCGTAGCGTTTTTAAAAAGTGCTTAAAGGTGATTTTTGTCATTGAGTGTTTTTAAAGAGTGCTTACTTTTCCCTTTTCGGAAATGAGATTTTTTTTCTTTACCATGTCGATTTTCGCCACGTATTTTTTACTTTGTTCTATTCAACATTTTCACAATTCATTCAACCACAATCTATTGTGGCTTACTGTCGGTTCATAGCGCATGAAAGCGCCAATCATTTTACATGTTTGATGAAATATTTGGGAGTCCGCTTGTGCATCGACTGAGCTGGGTTACGTGACATTTTTGCACTCTCTTGTGCAACTCTTCTGCATTTTGCAAGATTTTCTCCATTTCAGACATCATTTTCCACCCTCTGAAATTGAACCGAAAAATCTCTCGATCATTTTATAATGGCTAATCTAATCAAGAACAGTGTTCTTTGTCAGAAACTAGTTATTTTATCATAATCATGTAAAGTCTTTTAACATTATTTTGCATTTTGTTAATGTATATAGAGCTTAAAAATATTTTTTGAGTGCTTTAAAAGTACTTGAATGGTGTTTATTTGTTGTTGGGTGATTTGGCTACTCACCCTGGCTGTTTCTCTGATTCACTTAAAAATAAGGATATCACCGAGGTTAACATAGCAAAGAGGCAAATTTCCAAAAAGGCAAATCTACTACATTTTACGTTGTTTAATGAACCGCCGAAAAGTTTGCTCTGTTCCTCTGAGAACGAAATTCATAAAAGGAAACTCAAAAATTGTGTGTTGAATTTCCTCTAGTCCCCAACTGGCTGAATATTTCTTCAGCTTTAAGGAGTAGAGACGACCCTAGTGACTTCGAGGACCGGCCAATACCCTGCTCTAGCATAAACTGAAATTCTTGTTTTGCAACATCCTATATTTTTGGACTTAATCGTCTAGGTTTGCTGTATGTAGGCGGACCAGTTGCAGCGATGTAATGTACAGTATTATGATACGCCTGCTTAATTTCTGGTGTTAATTTTGTTAATTCCGGAAAATTTAATATGCGTCACCTGAACCGTGGTGACTTAGGGGACAGAGCACACGCATTCCAATGGGGTGACCCGGGTTCGATCCCAGCAACAGCTGGTTGATACAAATTCCGCACGCGGTTCGCATCGATTATAGTGCTGATGCAAAATATCCTCAGTGGTAGACGGATGATATTCCCCTTGCGGTCAGGCTAACTATGAGAGGTTTTCGTGGTTTCCCTGTCCTTGTAACGCAAATGCGGGTCATCAATAAGACCGCCACGAAGGCAAAATTTCTCCCAATACTGGATCCACTATTTCCCTTGTCCTATGGATTGGATTCAAAATGACAAGAACGCGGAGTTGAACATTAGTAGCAGTAAACCCAATAAATTGGGTCGGCTGTTCAACGACGGTTATAAAATAAAAAATGTATGTCACCTGAATTTCTGCACCGTAGCAATTTTTTATTTGCAGTTTCTTCGTAAGGCTGAATTAATGTTCAATAACTTAGTTTCGTAGGTCAACATTTTTGAATTATTAACTTTAAATAATTGTAATGGATCAATTTGAAAATTTCTAATCATTTTTGAGACGGGCAAGCAGCTCACGTCCGAACCTGAATCCACTAAAAAAATTGAATTCGACTTTTTATCAAATACAAGTAAGCGACACGAAAGTCATTTGGCATTTAGATCATTTGTCGCCGTTACAGCGACAGCCGTTTTTAGTTCTCCCGGCTATTGTTGTAAGAACACGATGAACAAAATTTTCTAGCTTTTTGACCAAATTTCGAATGATAAAAACAGAATTTAGACTTTTTTTTTCCTTTCCCTAGACCTGGATCTAACTCTATGAAAATTATTATGTCGTGTTCGAGATCAATTTTGTGATCTTTCACGAGAAAATCTTTCAAATTGCTGGTTAAGTACTGTTATTTGCTGACGTTGACAGATCTTCTCTTGGATTTGCTGAGAGTGCGGGATCTAACTTCGGCTATTTTATCAGCTAACTGAGCTAAATTTTCCCGTTTATCTAATCTAACGGAAGGATTTGTTTGTATTTCTGAGGGTAAGCGTTGTAGCCGTAAGGTTTTCATATAATGTTCATTTAAAGATGTACAGTGCACAAAAAATGGACCACCCAGAATAACCTTTGATCGTATGATAGGATTTTCACATTCTTGGACTCAATCTTCATGGTTCGATGAGGTGACCTCAGTATATAGTAAGTGCAGAATGGTATATAATGGTAATAGTAAAATGGTATACAGTAANTCCAATATATTACTAGTATTAATTGACAGACGAGTAAAGTAGACTGTCCTCTACTAGAAAAAAAAATAAATACCTTATTTTAAACGTTTTTATATTAGTTTTTGACAATTTTTGACAGTCGCGCACTTGTTACAATTGTCCCCACTTACGGGGTCAATTGTAACAGTTCATAAATTCAACTAAAACATAGTTAATTATACATATTATCATAGCTGTGATATATTTCTTTATTGATCAAAATAGTAGTGATATTTTAGGAGTAAAAATAATAATGAGCAGAGACCTAAAGGGCTTAACTTTTAACTTTAAGGGGTTAAAAATTTTAATTTATGCTGTGAAAGGTGAGAAATAAAATAAAGCAACATGCAAGATAATATAAATGATATAGAAAACTATTCGTCGTGGTTCTTAAAGAGTTAAGTAATGGTTTGTAAACATAAGAAATGAGACCTAAGGGTTTAAACAATTGCTACATAAGAAATTAAATAGGGATTTTTTATTTTTAAATTAGTCACGTGTGAGAGATTGAACAAATGAAAATATAAGAGGTTTAATAGTTATTTTTTAGTTTCAAACAAATGAGGCTTAAGGGGTTAAAAGTGTAATACATGAGGAGTTAAATATTGATGTTTAGGGTTAGAACAATGATTTTTAAGGGTGTAAACAGGTCGATATGTGAAGGTTTAAATAGTGATTTTTAAGGTTTAAAAATGAGACCTGAAGGGTTAAAAAAGTGAAAAATGAGGATTTAATTAGTGATTTTGTCAAAAAATGTGATTTAAGATGTTTAAAAAGTAATTTTTTAGGAGTTACATTTACGTTTGTTAGAATGATTGAAAATGACACTTAAGGCGTTCAAAAATAATTTAAACAAAGTATTTTTATTTCTCATATACATTTCTGCATATAATTGTGACAATAATAACAGCTTTTATTCAAGTGTAAAGCTATGATACATTGGAAAAGATCTAAAGCTTTACTTTAAATAAGGAAATAAATTAAATTGAATCAAATATCTAATTATCATTAACAGAAACAAACATATAAAATTCATAACAAAAATGAATATTTTTGTTATGAACAAAAAGTTCAAAAGTTCTAAGCAACAAAAAGTTCAAAACTAGCTGCTAGTCCAATGAAATAAAAAAATTAAATTTGTTTTTTTAAATACCAAAAATTTAAGTGGTAACTTATTTTCCATCACTAAATAACGATAATTCTTTCTATCGAATAATTAAATCGATATTTAGATTACTCGCAATTGTCACAACAATATCTCTTTTTGCCATTGCTGCACTTGGCATGCGCCCATCCACTGCATTTCATACACTGGACCCATTCTTCTCCAGCTCGACTGTTATCATATGAATCCCAGCAAACTGTACAGAAAACTTCCTCTTCATCTTCTTGAACTGTTTCTTCGCTTTGTTTTCCGTTATTTTTCTTATGTACGGCCACTGTTTTAGGGACTTTTTTTCCTCCGGATTTATTTTGAACTGTAGATGCACCCTGTTTTTTGGTGTATTTTCTTTTTGGTTTTTCGGTGACGTTTTTAGGTTCTGCATCTAACTGCATATCAGTCAAAATGGTGTTTTTGCCCCTTTTTCTCCCACGATTTGACTTCTCTAAGGGTTTAACTTTTGCTAATGGTCGAATAGATTGAAGATTAAAATACGCTAATGCAGAATGTAAATTTGATTCATTGGCACTTGTACTTGGCACAGGATCTAAAACTTGAAGTGTATTTGAAGCTGTTTCAGAAGAATTGTCTAAACAAATAGCTTCCGGAATCTCTAATGCCGGTTCATTTAACCGAAGCTTGAGGAGGAGAAGTTTGTGTAAAATCAGGAACCGGAATATCTAATGATTGACCACCTGAACTAGATTGAGGAACATCTGTTACAGAAGACGGAGCAAAATCTGAATCTTGAAAAATATTTCTGTTAAAAGGCCAAATGCCAGTTTTTTTTTGAAGCCTGATGTGATATTGCTAGGTGTAAGAGCTAAGGGCAAAGCAGTTCGCGTTATCTCAGGAATGTTATATATAGTCATTCAAATTTCTGGGTGATTTTTGATCCATGAATCCATTGCCACATTCACATAGCGTTTTAGTGGGCCGTAAACGCTGACATCTAATGGCTGAAGACGATGAGAACAGTGCGGTGGGAAAGATAGTAAAATTATTCCATTATCTTGACAGAATTTAATGCTTGGTATATAAAGGTGGCTGTCATGGTTATCAAGAAGTAACAGAACAACATTGACTTTACTCGGCTTTACATGTTTGGCGAAATGATGTAAAAATTGCAAGAATTCAGCTGCTTGCATCCAGCCAGACCCATTAGCAGCACCGATACACCCAGGAGGTCCATCTCGAATAAAATGATCGTAAAACTTTTGTCTCGGAAATATAAGAAATGGAGGAATTGAATTTCCAGTCGCGTTAACAGCAACACAACACGTCACAAGAGTTCCGCGTTCAGATGAAGTGATTGCACCTACTTGCTTTTTACCCTTTTTAGCAGCTATCTTTGTAGGCACTTGCACTGTTGTAATGCCCATCTCATCAACATTGTAGACATTTTGGGGCTCAATTTCATATCTGACGTACACATCAGATAAATTATTAAAAAACGAATTGACATTGTTTCGATTAAAATTCATAGCTCTCGCAAGACTAGTTGGCTCAGGTTTACGTAAAGAAAGGTTAGGACATCTTTTTAAAAACCCTCTCAACCAATCAATTCCTGCCATTTCAAATTCAGACCAGTTGTCAGGAAATTTTAATTGATACGTGACCGCACACTGATATGCCAATTTTCTTACGTCTTTTGTGGTAAGTCCATAATACAAATCTGCAGCGTCCAAAACATATTTACACAAAATTAATTCTTGTGCAGTGTCGAACACTTTGCTATGAGGTTTATATCCGCTTGCAGGTTTTTCATTGTTCTTCATGCTTTTGACAAATCTGCTTAAAGTCACATGGCAAATTTGGTATTTTTTTGCAGATGCTCTAATAGACAAGCCCAATTCTGTGACTTCTTTTGCAGCAGTTTCCATAGTCGCTTGATCTATACCCCGTGTACTTGTTCTAACACGAATTCGCGGCATCCTGTGAAGCATTAAAAACTAATTATTATTGACATCTGTGAATATGAAACGATTCAAAATTTCTATATAAAATTTCAATACATTTTAAAAACCTTTAAAAAAAAATTTCCCCTCCCCCAAGTCTCACTTGCTTAACCATTTAACTTGCAATCACCATTTAACCCTGCACGTATCACTTTTTTAACCCATCCCATATAATATTTTAATCCTTTAAGTCTCATTTTCTTACCCTAAGCAAATCACTATTTAAACTCACGAAATCTCTAGGTATCACTTGTTTTAGTTTTTAAATTCCAATTTTGAAAATACCATTTTATTTAATTTTAAACATAATACAGTAAAACCTGTTTTTGGGCTATGGATAGAGACCGCATAAAAGAAATCGTACATAAAAATATTCGAAATTTTATAAATTCTTGCATATAATAACAACTTTGTACGATATACAACCTAAAACTTTTTTTATGCGGTGGATAGGGACCGCATAAAAAAAGTCGGACTCCGAAAATACATCAATGATTTATGAAACAGATGTAAGAATGCTGTCAAATTAAATAATTAAATTATACCTAAAGAAATTGTAAAAATATTTAATTCTTCATTGTACATATACATGTAGAAGTTTTCAAATTATACATTAAATAGTTTGCTGCTACTCGTCGTAATCCAAAACGCGCATCTTCTTGGAATGAATTGGTTGAAAATCACTTTCTTCGCTTGAAGATAGGATTTCAATTTATTTGTTTTTTGGTACCATAATAAAGTCAGTGATCAGTTTTTGAGACGACAGTCAACTTTTCAATTGCTTGTAAACGTCACGATAGTGAGACATGCATTATCTCAGCTCTTTTTGGAATTTTAAGCGTTTTTCTGCATTGGTATCAATTTTAAGAAAATGAGTTTTCAATTTTTTCCAAATCTGGAACTCTGCATATATTTTATCTGCTGTAATAAATTCCGATTCTTCCTGTCCATTTAAGGGAGTACTTATGATTAAAAAATAAAATAAAAATCATAAAAACTACATATAAATAGAAACAAAAGTAAATAATTTATTTACCGTTAATCTCACTATAAAATGAATCCTTATTCACATGTATCGTGTATAAAACTCCGAATACGAAGATTCTATAGTATTTGAGATAGGCGCAGACGAGAATTTACAAAATAAAAATAACGGTTTAATTTTAAAATACTAAGTATTTTAACACAGCAGACGATTTTTTACTGATTTACTTTAACTTGTTCGCAGAATAAATTTTAAACAGAAGAGAAAATGGAGTTGACGATNGTAGGTCAACATTTTTGAATTATTAACTTTAAATAATTGTAATGGATCAATTTGAAAATTTCTAATCATTTTTGAGACGGGCAAGCAGCTCACGTCCGAACCTGAATCCACTAAAAAAATTGAATTCGACTTTTTATCAAATACAAGTAAGCGACACGAAAGTCATTTGGCATTTAGATCATTTGTCGCCGTTACAGCGACAGCCGTTTTTAGTTCTCCCGGCTATTGTTGTAAGAACACGATGAACAAAATTTTCTAGCTTTTTGACCAAATTTCGAATGATAAAAACAGAATTTAGACTTTTTTTTTCCTTTCCCTAGACCTGGATCTAACTCTATGAAAATTATTATGTCGTGTTCGAGATCAATTTTGTGATCTTTCACGAGAAAATCTTTCAAATTGCTGGTTAAGTACTGTTATTTGCTGACGTTGACAGATCTTCTCTTGGATTTGCTGAGAGTGCGGGATCTAACTTCGGCTATTTTATCAGCTAACTGAGCTAAATTTTCCCGTTTATCTAATCTAACGGAAGGATTTGTTTGTATTTCTGAGGGTAAGCGTTGTAGCCGTAAGGTTTTCATATAATGTTCATTTAAAGATGTACAGTGCACAAAAAATGGACCACCCTGAATAACCTTTGATCGTATGATAGGATTTTCACATTCTTGGACTCAATCTTCATGGTTCGATGAGGTGACCTCAGTATATAGTAAGTGCAGAATGGTATATAATGGTAATAGTAAAATGGTATACAGTAAGTGCTATATTTTTAATTACGAAATCAGATACAAAATCGTACTTTCTATGAATAAACATACCATGTTTACGACGGATTCAGATTTTTGATCCCCAAAATATAGAGGATATCCGCAATCTGGGTAATAATAGGATGTTTATCACAGGGTTGCCTTTTCTTCAAAACCTTTAGTCATGAGCCGCGATGGCGTTACAATGAAATGAACTGGTTTAGAATAACTGATGTAAAAATTGCAAGAA